ATATATATATATATATTTTCAAAGGCCTATTGAAATTGAAAATATTGATCTCGTTACCTTTTTGAATTTATGTCATTTGACCTTTTCAGAACTACATGGCGTAACGATAATTAGCATATGAATATCACCATCAACAATATTTAGTTGTCAGTCATGTGAAAAGTAATTGTGTTACAAACCAGCTTGATGATCATTTTCTGAAACGAAACTTAATTCCAAAGATTACTTAAGTTAATTATTTGATATAATCTTTCCTTTCTCCGTTCGGGATTAATTTCATAAACACCTCATAACTTTGTACTAGGTTTTAACATACATTTGAACTTAAAAAATGGTTTATTGTACTTTTTAAAATATGAAAAGTGATTCAAAGCACTCCCTAAATTAATATTATTTCATAAATGTCCTTGCACTATTATTGATCTTGTGTCAATTTATCCCCTAATTTTTTAAAGTATTGAGGAATAAGTTGACCTAAAATTAATAGCTTGGAGACATTTATAAAATATAAGTAATTTCACGTCATTATTTTATTAGTTTTATAAATGTATGGGATATTTTGAACTATGTTATATAATTTTAGGACAAAATGTATTCTTTTCGAAATTCGGGGAGCTTATTGAAATATGACACAATATTCAGAGGTATTTAACAAATTAATCCTTCCATTCATAAAATCTTCCTCTATTTAAGTTTTTCTCATTGTACATAAATCCTTTTTTCCTCTTAATTTCCATAAGGTCACTGGTCGAGCACGTGCGACTACTAATATTCCAAAATATAAACTTTCATTTCATTTGTAAAACTTGTAAGAAATTATTATATGCTTTATGTCCATTTAGTAGAAAATTATTCTTCTCTTTACTAACATCATGTCTTTACTAAATATTTTCCGGCTCCACCACTACTATAATTTGAGATTTATATTTGGTCTCTTTTTTTTTTTTTTTTTTTTTTTGCTTTTTGGCTATTTTCTGATAATTTCTCAAACTAATTAAGAAAATATATTAATTAACAGGCTCACTTCTCTACATCAAAAAGGAATTCAATTTAGAGAGGAAACCAACACTAGAAGGCCTAATCATAGCCACATCTCTCATAGGAGGCACGCTCATCACAACCGTCTCCGGTCCGGTCTCAGACCGGGTCGGTCGTCGTCCAATGCTAATTATGTCCTCCGTCTTATTCTTCTTTAGTGGTTTGGTCATGTTATGGGCACCAAACGTCTACATGCTTCTGGTCGCAAGACTTCTAGACGGGTTCGGAACCGGTTTGGCCGTCACTCTTGTTCCCGTCTACATCTCCGAAACCGCACCACCGGAGATTAGGGGAACTCTAAACACATTGCCGCAATTCACGGGGTCCGGGGGGATGTTCTTGTCGTACTGCATGGTTTTCGGGATGTCATTGGTGAAGTCACCGAGCTGGAGGTTGATGCTTGGAGTTCTTTCGATCCCGTCGCTTGTGTACTTCGCATTGACGGTGTTTTACTTGCCGGAATCTCCGAGGTGGCTTGTGAGTAAGGGGAGAATGGTTGAAGCCAAACAAGTTCTACAAAGACTCCGTGGCACCACTGATGTTTCAGGTACTTAGATAAGCAATTTTACTAAAATATACAGGTGTCGTACATAAACGTACGTATGTTGAATTAAACATCTAATCCCGGCGTACTTTTCTAAAAGATTATATTAAAAAAGGAAAGGAAGTCTTCATTTCTTGATAATCTATCAATTGGTAAATTATAATTCTTGTTCTATTATCTTTGTTTTATGCTAATTCACAGCTTATAAATGATGATTGTTTTGTTTTCAATAGGTGAATTGGCTTTGCTAGTTGAGGGTCTAGGGACCGGAGGTGACACATTCATAGAGGAGTACATAATTGGCCCAGCCAATGAACTCTCCGGTGAAAATCAGGAAACAACTAGTGGCGATCAAATAAAGATTCATGGCCCTGAGGAGGGCCACTCTTGGGTTGCGAAACCCCTCGGCAACGGCCGGAATTCGCTCTTGGCTTCTCGGCAAGGGAGCAGCTTGTTGAGCCAAAGCGTCCCTCTTCATGTGGATCCTCTTGTCACTCTCTTCAGCAGTGTTCATGAGAAGCTTCCTCAAAATAGTTTCGGAGGAAGCATGCTTTTTCTTTCCAATTTGGCCTCAGCCGATCAAAATCATGATCATAGTAATCAAGATCATGACCAATGGGACATGGAGAATCAAGAGGACACACAACAAAAGTAAGGTTTTTTTTTTTTTTGCCCCTTAATTATCACTAGCTACCACTTTTTATTAAAGCTACTAAAGAGTTCTCTATTTCGTCCTGTGGTTTGTCCCAAAGCTACTTCAAGCGTATTCACCTTCTCATGCTCTTCGGGCCCGCCGTTAAGGCTTTTAGTGAACATTTTTGTTAGCATTTAGGACAGCTAGCCCATTTGAAAATTGTGGGAGTCTGCTAACGCCGATCGCCCATTTCCAAAGATCATACACGCATATATGTGCATTGATCTCCATACTCGTGTTGAGATCTTTAAATTAGTTACACAAAATATGCGGTTTTTGTGTCCTACTTTACAAGATTCTATGCTAAACAAGGCATTATACCTTGAGAAAAATCAAAAAGATCTGTCAAGATATCTTAACCATTACACTTTAGGTTACGTCGACTAACACAGAGTGCCTCTGTAATTTTCCTAATTTTTAAAAGAAGTTAAAACACTATTGTTATAATTCAGACAAAACACAGAGAATGTCAATGCAGTTCTTCCTTTTTTTTGAAAAGAAAAATGAAATTAATCTTGCCTTTGCTTTTCAATTGCAGTGACAGCAATGACTATGCGTCCGACGACAACTTGAGAAGCCCGTTGCTTACGAATTTTGAAAAGCATACAAGTACTAATGGCAGTGTCTTCAACACAAGGCGAAATAGCTACATTGTAATAGAAGGGAATGATAACATTGCTGGTGAAGTATTGAGCAGTAGTACAGACATAGGTGGTGGGTGGCAACTGGCATGGAAATGGTCGGAGCGAGTGAACGAAAACGGGACAAAGGAAGGAGAACTCCAAAGAGTCTACTTGCACCAGGAAGGCACCGCGGTGTCTCGGGCAGGGTCAATTGTCTCGGTTACAGATGGGGAGACGGGCGGGGAAACAGTTCAGCTGGCTGCAGCTCTTGTTGGCCATTCTGCTATTGGTTCCAAGGCGTCTTTCGCGATCGAGGAGGAAGATGGGGCGGGATTGGAACCGTCGGTGATCAAAGCGGCCGAGGAGGTGGCTAAAGGGGCGAGTTGGAGTGATCTTTTGGAGCCTGGAGTCAAGCGTGCCTTGATTGTTGGGATAGGACTTCAAGTTCTTCAACAGGTAAACAAAAAAAAAAACAGAAAGAAAGTGTCGGTAGTTTTTTTTCCTCTCTTTTTTGAAAGCTAATCGTAATACTCTAAATCAAGAAAATACACATACTAATACTTATTCCAATGACTAGATAACAAAAGAAAACTTAACACTGACCAAACCAGTTTCACACGTAAATTGTAATGAAACGTATAAAGGGATAAAATGTGCTCCAAGTTCCATCATCGTTAAATTGAAAAGGCACACCAGCTATCGATCAAACATAATAGTTGAATTATGAGTAAATTTGACGATATTTAATTTGATGAAGGGACGAAGATTTTTAAAAAATTCACAATAAGACTTCTATTTTCCTCTTTATATTATCACTAACTCTGTGTGTGTGTGTGTGTATATGTATGTATATATAAGGTTGCTGGCATAAATGGGTTGCTATACTACGCCCCACAAATACTAGAGCAAGCAGGAGTAGGTGTGCTCCTATCAAATATGGGGTTGAGTTCAGCTTCAGCATCTTTGTTAACGAGTGCAGTCACAACTTTTTTGATGCTTCCTTGCATTGCTACTTCCATGTGGCTAATGGACGTCTCTGGCAGAAGGTAAAACACTGGACATATCCTCTCCTTTTTTATGAGGACAACTAAATCATTTGATATTCAAAATCGCGGGTAAACAATTTGTTGCCCCATATACAGGACCATTCCTGATCTCGGGCACCACAATTAATAGAACGTGAGTCCTATACTGCAGGATCCACTTTCTCTAATTATTAATATGTGGTGTACAATATTACCGGTATCTGATAGCAATGTTCTTAATTTAATCTTCACATTATTGTCACATTAACTTTAACTAGTTAGTCTATAATTTTCAAAGATAATATAATAGTACCATACTAGATTCAAGTTTCTCAATACCACCATAACTTTATCTTTTTTTTCCCTTTTATGCAGGTCCTTGTTGCTATCCACCATACCAATCCTCATAGTCTCCCTCTTTTTACTAGTGCTTGGCAGCATTGTTAACTTTGGCTCTACAATGAATGCACTAATCTCGACTTCGAGTGTCATCGTCTACGAATGCTGCTTCGTGATGGCTTTCGGGGTGATCCCGAACATCCTCTGCGCGGAGATCTTCCCTACTCGAGTCCGTGGCAGGTGCATTGCCTTGTGCTCATTGACATATTGGATTGGCAACATCCTCATCACCTACTCATTCCCCACAATGTTCAAATTGATTGGTCTCGCCGGTGTGATTGGCATTTACGCAATCGGGTGCATCGTCTCGTGGATATTTGTTTTTCTTAAAGTTCCTGAAACAAAGGGCATGCCCTTGGAAGTAATCTCAGAGTTTTTTGCTCTCGAGACAAAATAGCTGGGTGATCTTGCCAATGAATAGTGAGAGTCAAAATTTTGGGAATTTTTTTCATAGGCATTGTTGTTTGTCACTAGTGGTGATTCATCACAGCATGACTATACTTCTCATTGTATGTTATAATTTACGTACAATCAAAAAATTGGGCTCGGGTATTGCTACATGCTACGTAGTTTATTTTTATTCTTATTTTTATTTTTTTGCTGCTTGGCTAAAATTCTTACCCTAATGACTAGTGGCGGAGCCAGAATATTTATTCAGTACGAACAGAGTAATTTTCAGTACCTAGTATACAGTTACAACTTATCACTAAAACTTAAAATGAGGTAAAATGACTGATGATTCACAAAATTCTATTTTAATTGACTTATTCATAAAGCTACAATTTTTTCAAAATAATTTTATTTGGACTTATCAATCAAATGATTTTATAAACCTTAAAAATATTGGAATATGTCACCCAATAAATTCCATGACAAACTTATATCGTATACACACAGACTTTTCATACTTTGTTAACACAAGACATGTTGCAAAAATTCAACTTTTCATACTTCGTTCACATAAGACATATGTTGCAAAACTTGAACACAATATAGTTGAGCATTTCTTGATTCACAGCAAAACATTTTAGGCAAACAATAAAATACTAACTCAAATTTTATACCTTCATCAAAAAATTAAAAATAAAATAAAAAGTAAAACTGAAATGTTATACCATAATCCACTGTACCACATAACTTATCATTGATATCACAAGCAATATATACACTTGTATCCAAAACCAAATGAAATGCTGACCTATCAAAGGCTCGGAGGACACACAAGGGAAAAAGTTTTATCACAATTTACAGTACATGCTGCTAACAAAAGCAAAATTTTTATTAAAATTTTAATGTACAAAAAAAGCTTCCATTAGTAACTGATACAATTTCAATATATTTCTCTAACATGTATTTTTACTTTCATGAAAAATTCAATACAAAATGTGATGCAATTGCCGCCAACGGCAAACCTTTCATGGTTGTCTTTGCGGGGCTGGCTTTACAAATGAGAAATCATCTTCACTTCTGGTCTCTTCTTCTCTGCGTTGGGATCCATTTATTTCGGTTGCTTCCTCATCATTATCCACTCTCACGACCAAGTCTGCCGTCGATGTTGGGGACAAGAGCTCAGTTTCCATATCAGATGTCTCAGTATCGTCATAGATTGATGAGCGGGTTGAGTGGCCGGTGGTTTTGAAACGGTGAAGAGTGTGTCCTGAGGAGTGCACCTTGGATATAGTTGAGCTTCCACCAAGAGTAACTGTGGAGGACTTGCTTCCTTTCCCTCCATGCTTCTTTTTCACAGCCATGTGCCACTTCTTAAGGGCCTTGGATGTTTGCTCATCAAAGATGGATTTCTTCATCCGCGAACCCATCTGCAGCAATCGCAATGCACTTCAATCAACGTGTAAAAACTCAAGAGAAACCACAACAAATGAGAATTTAATGTTAACAAAAACATCCCATGTTACTTTTATCAAAATGTTGCACGACATCCTGGGTTTCAAGAAATAAAGTACTTATTCCTTACGTTTTAAAAATCATGTTAAAAGCTTTCCCAAAGGAGAGGTTGTTAAAACAATTTTTAGGGACCTTTTTAACCTGATTTGTGAAATGTAGGGGATAATTTTAACATGATTTGTAAAAACTAAGGGATATATGTATGCATTTCCTGAAATAATAGGGTGGAATGCAGCATTTCAATAAAACACAGGAGGTTTTTGGTGCTACTATAGCTAAGTTGGAAAGTTCACAATGGAGACAAGGATTAGTAAGGAAAGCATGAAGATCTCACATTTACAGTGGCTTATTTACACTTTTGATCAAATCAAGGACATTAGAAAGGTACCTGAGTTACAAGAGCATAGAGGGGAAGTGTGATGTAGCTGCACAAGCATAGAACACCAACCCTGCAAAATCCCCGAAAAGTAATAACCAGTCAACTCAATAAAAACAAATAGTCAACCCTGTGAATTTCGAATAATTCACGTTAGTATAAGAAAGAACACATATTTTCACTACAAAGGCAGGATTATGGATAAAAAGCTTACCCCAAAACTAGTTTCATAATGGCAAGCGTGAAATTGGCATGAAAACATGACTGCAGTCCAAAAGAATACTGCACAAACAGAAACTTCTCTTTTCAGTACTTGGGTATGAGCCCAAATGTTATATGATCTAGAAACAGTGTAGTTCACCATTGATAATTATATGAAGTGGGGAATAGGTCTTACCCATATCCATAAGAAATATGTTATCTGAAAAGCATTCTGCATACACCAGAAAAATGGATTAGCTCTTCAAAAGTGTGAAAGAGAATATGGATCATTTTCACAAATGCCCCTTGAACTACATGTCCTTGTTCAACATGCACCCCGAACTTTGAAAAGGATTCATTTCACCCTCTAAACTATATAAAACCATTCAAACCATTGAGAATGATTGGTTAGAGGATCAAAATCTGATAATTGCAATAACAGATGTGATTCGGCACTTACTGTGTACAATCAAACAATGTCCACAGACACGTTATCTCCCATCAAATCTCAATACATCGAGAGCCCGACTAAAAAAATACCTAGATGTAAAATTGCTTTGGATTTATTAAAATATAGGAATGAGATTCACTCAAAATATACTATCTCTAGTTATATGATTCAAAACCCCAACCAAAACAAAGAGATTTTTTGTTTTCAAGGGTTGGTTTTCCATTAGCTATAATTCAACCAGGACCAAGCAGAAAAAACAAATTGCTACTTCTGTTAGAATTTTATGCAAGTCATAAAAAAAATGGTTCTGTATGATTTTGTGAACTTTAAAACATAACAAGAATAGCAAATTAAGATTCAGATTCAGAATCTACTTTAAAGAAACAATTAAATACCTGAAACAAAGCAAAATGGATAAGATGAAGAACCAAATGGGGCCGACCAAACCAAAAGTATTGATCTGATCCCTGCACAAGAGGAATCCCCTGGACCACTGCGTGCCTTTCGGTGATTTCGAGAGCCATCTTTGTCAAGATGGACTGAAGTTCTGTTCCTACTGCTAAGATTATCTGCCATTAATTAGACAGTCATAAGCTTCGTTCTTCCAAGTAAGCCTAAAAAATTTTATGCAGTAAAAAATGGTTACTTACAATAAGAGGGATCAATGATGCCCAAAATAATGCTTGCCATCCTGAAAAAGAAATAATTTTACAACAATTCTATCAATTCCTTTTAGTTCAATTTGACATGTACGTACATAATTATATACTTCGCAAGGAATATCATGGAAAAACTGGCTTACCTTGAACATTCAGTAACAAGAAGACAACAAATGATGCCCACAAGACAGGACTGCCAACAATATGGAGAAAAGAAATTCAGGTGCCGGAAAGCATTGCATTAAAGGCGGACCCCAGTGACAAAGAGGCTCCCGTACTATGACAGGCTCGGTAGAAAGCTTAATCACATATGTACGCGGCCTTACCCCCCGAAGGAGAGGCCATTTTCGGGATTCAAACCTTGGACCCCGGGTGCAAACGCAAGCGCTCCCACCACGGTGCCAAGGCACTGCATTAGTGTACAAAAATCACAAGTAATGATGTGATTAAATGCAACTCTTAACAGAAATTGGGACATTACCTTACTCCAACAACTATCTTAAAGTCGTCCTCCAACGATCTCTTGATGTACTTTTGAAAGTTAAATTTACTTCCAGGAGCTAAGTGGACCTGTAGATGAAATTTTGTAAAAAAAGGGAATGAAACATATGACATGAAATTCTGAAAATTTTAAATCCAAAACTCACCGTGATGAATCCATTGCGCAATGTCATGTAGTCGGCCTTGCTAACAGACCTAAAAAACTGTCGAAAGAAGCATCCCTGGAAAACATACATGTTTATATGTTATTATGACTAGGTTATACATAAGAGATGAATAGATAAACAAATGAGGGCACTGAAATCTAGTCTAAATAAACTGAGCTTTTTCTTTCTTTGTTTTTATTTCGTTCTTCCACTTTTTTCTCTATTTCTGTTCAATACCTAAGCATCTTTTAGAGCACATGTACTTCCTCTGCCTTACTGAACAATAAAAGAATAACAGACAAAAATCAAGACGGCACAAGGAAAAGTCTCTTACAACATAGAAGAAGAATGGAATCGGCGTCCAGAAACTGGTATGCGCTCTGACAAATGATGTTTCATGAGTAAGTCGGAATCTTGAGGGATCTATTCAGAAGAATAAAGTTTGTTAGCATCTCGGACCAATAGATCCAGATTTTCCAAGAATTGCATAGGACGCCCATTCAGACTTAAGGACCAAAGCTTTCGAGCAGTGTAATGATATACCATTTGAAAATTCATAGTTGTGGGTTGACGTTTCCTGCTCCCATTTCTTCCAGCCACGAATCTGTTCAAAGATACATCAATTAAACATTGCTTCGGTTTAAAAAAAAAAAAAAAAAAAAAAAGAGAGACAAATTTATATGTTATTACCAATTTTAATAGTATCTTATTGATTGACTATTAGGATATATAATCATGAGTAGTTTTCGCTAGTTTGAACAACTTGGTGAGTAGATTTAGCTGGCTGTATTTTTAGTGTTTCATTGGATCATTCTCAAGGTTTCCTCAGTAAAGAGAGGACTGGAATTCAATTTCGCTAAAAATGAATACATCCAAGTCACTCGAAACAATTATGGCTTCAAAATATAGCTTTAACACAATTTAGTATGCTTTCAGTTTGTTAACATGAATAACAAATAGAAGCTAAATTTTGCAAGAATCGGAAAGACACTAAGTATTAAATAACAAACTTTTCATCCTACTTTACACAAAAGGTCAAACGAACGGCTCCGTCCATAACTGTATCTGATGATTATGGCTGATATCCATCATCCTGTTACTTCTCCATAGTCACTACCAAGTACCAAATACTAATCTAGTGATGAACTGATTAAAGCACTTATGAGGCCTATTTTTTTATTTATGAAATATGCAACAATACCTGACATACAACATTCTACTCATCACATATATGGCATCATAATAGCAATGCACTATGACGAATGCATGACCACATCACCATAAGCTTAATTTTCAGTAATTAAAAAAAAAAAAAGAAAAAAAAGAGCAATATATGGGAAACACCCGAACCTTTAGCCTTCCAAGCATCATTGTGATACCGCTGAATAGCACGTGGAAAAATGCTAAGAAGAATATAAGGATGTGTAGTTCGTGCAATCCCTCGACAGAAATAAGTGATTCTTTTCCCTATTAACAAGAATGAGAAAAGTTGTAATTAAGTAAGAGTCAGTTCATGTGGTAACCCAGAGAAAATTTTCCAGTAGTTATGCATCAAGTACTATAGCATCATAAAAAATCAAGTCACCAATCTTGGAGTTGCATTGCACTACTTTGGTTCCAATATGCACTCATAAGAGAGGCTTTGCATGAACTAAGACAGAGACAGACATAGAAAAATAAAAAAAGTTCCATTGCACTGGCGAGGATCTAGTCCCAGCGACAGAGCTAGGATGTGGGGTAGAGGTTCGTGAATCTATCAGACCAATACCAGGGTACTGTACTTAATAGCTTTAAGTAGTCATAATCACTGACTGATTCATGGCACAAAACTGAATTTTGCTATGGTTAGCTTACAAGAAAACGATCAAAGAGCAGGACTTTTCACTTCATTCACTGGTGATCGTCTTCATGTAATGAGTGGCTATGGCTTATGAAATGAACTAATCAACAGTAAAGGCCAGAACATATGATTGATTATAATAAGCACTACTACCACATTCTCCTTGCTTTCGAAAGGGATGGATTTTTAAAGGCCAAGTATAAGCCGAGCAATGGATAGACTTACTTCTTTGCACGTTGCAGAATAGCCAGAACCGGCTAAAAATCTGTGCTCGAACCATAAAAGTCTCCGCCGATGTTCTTCTTCGGTGGATTTTTTCGCCTCTTTTTTAAGTGAGCATGGCAACATGGTCTCTGCTATGTGTTTAGGAATACAGATTTTGGCAATGTAACTTTGACTGAAAGTCAACAGCAGTGAAATGAAACCCAGAATCATCAGCTCTGCAATAGTTTCATTCCAAAGTCAACACAATATGTATCCTGAAAATTTCCATTACAACATGAATCCCAATAATAAACATGACAATGTAAGTTTGGTGAAAGTTAATGTTACCAGCTTTGACCTTCTCAAGGGCCTCAAAAAGAGAGATCTTGTGCCTTTCTGTGAACCACTGAAGTGAAAATTAACCAAATTTTATAGGATTAGGCATAAATAGTTAACCAGAAGAACTCCATATAATAACATTATAAAAGATTAACAAAATTGCTAGACCAACCATGAACCAAGGAGAATCACTCAAATTTCAACTTCTAAAGTCAACTCTAACAAAAAATGCCCATCTGATCTTATTTAATGTCTATGAGATTGTGAATGAGAAAAGAAAACTAATTTTGATAAAAATAAAAATAAAAAAAAAATAAAAAATAAAAAAGAAAAGAGGTCCAAACACCAGAAGAAAAAGGGTAGGCAATGAAGAATGTTGTAATTAATTTTAAAGTGAACCTAAAATGCCTAACTCTTCTTTAGGAAAAAAAAAAGGTTTTGCCTAACTCAGATTTCTACTACTAAAGTCAACTTTTTGTAGAAAATGAAAAAACAACAATGAAAATAGGTGATGGAAGAAATCAAAAGAATATCGATTTACAGAACAAAAAATGAATTCTGGCAGTTAACTAAAAATGGACATAAAAAAGTTAAACTTTCTAACAATAATCCGCTAATAAATAACTAACAACTGGTTCTTCCCGTCAAACTCTTCAATTCTTTTTCCGGGTTTGATTCCAAAAGCAAGACCAAATCTTGGGTTCCATTTCCTATCTCCAAAGCAAGAGAGAGAAACAAGAGAGAGAGAGAGAGAGAGCCAGAAAAGGCACAAACCGTTCCGAGCTTGTGGAGGACTTTTTCCAGGACTATGGAGATGATGATGATGAAAGTGCAAACTCCGGCGACGGCCCAAGTCGGCGTCTGATCGAGCTTTCTAGATTCTGAGTCCGAGGAGGCTGCCATGGCCGTTACCGCCATTAACAGAACTGCCCATGAACTCCAACTGGAGAAGATGAAGAACTTCATCGTTTAACAGATAGAGAGAGAGACACACAGAAGAAAAAGAAGAGAGAGAACAGAGAGATTTGGCCAATACAAACAGTCCAAAAACATAGAGTAGTAGTTTGTGTTTTGGACATAAAGACTCTTGTTTTGTTTGTTTCGTTTACGTTGTGTTTTATCGGTATGGGTTATCCAAGAAGGAAGATGTTATAAATATAAAATAGTACAATATGCATTAATTGCGTCTAAGATCCAGCGAAACACTTTTGATTTGAGAGTGAAAAAAAAAAAAAAAATATTCCCCATTTTTGGTTGACTATAAGTTTAAAAGGAGGGGAAAAAAAAGAAAAGAAAATTCCATTTTTTTATAATGATTTCGTTGAACATTTCTATGGCATTTGGTGTTGCTATGTTATTTGTTATGATGATACCTTTATTTTGATAAATGAGCTAAAATTTTTGTTCAAACAGTGTTATTGTATTATTGTTGTTGTTGTTGTTATAAAAAATGGGATTTTGTAATAAAGTATGAAAAAGAAATTATTATTCAAATTTTGTGGAATGTAAGTTTAGTTGCCGTATTCGTGTCATAATGCGAATCATGATTTATGATTCGTTACAGTATTTTTTTTGTCTAAAAAATACACGTAAATTAAGAATGATTCTAAATTATAATTATGAATCTATGAACCAAATTTCAAAAGTTTTTTTAAAACACTATTCTTAGAGTTTTTTTATTTTTATATATCATCATAAATTTATCATGAGAAGAATTACCCAATTTCAAGATTTCTTTCTATTGTCAATTTTGGTCTCCTTTTAGTTTTGTCTTAATGAGGTACAAGAACGCGGGATTAGGTCAAAATAGGGGGTAAAAGACTAAAAAAAAATTGATGAAGTGTAAATCCAAGTTGCCCATTGATTAGGCATTAAATGGCTGCAACTTTTTTCTTTTCTTCTTTTTTCTTTTTTGGGTCATATTTGGGAGTCCGCGAGATTGGAGGATGGAGGTCAAAGAAATACATTTTGGATTGCCTTGGGTTTTAGTTTGGGAACCATCCAAATCACATCAATGGGTCCCGCCATGCTTTGGGACTTACCCAAACCAACCTACTGATAAAGATTCGTGTAATTCCTTAATTTAAATAGTATTTAGTACGTCGTATCATAATTTAAATTATAATTCGTTATTCGTTATAATATTTATTTTATAAAAATACATATAAATTGAGAATAATTTTTAATTATAATTCTAAATTTATGAATTAAATATCCACTTAAATTTTTAATTTAAATTTAAATATAATTTTATATGAGAATTTTTTATTATAATAAAATTTAAATTTTAAATTCTAATTGATAAAATAAACCGAACCTCCTGATGCGTAGTGACTATTACTTGCTTATTACCCTGACTTGGCTTGGCCTTTGGTCCAAAAACATTCCCATGTTTTAAGAAATAAACAATTTAGGAGTTGGGCCAGTCCCTTATTTTAATACATAAATTGATCACTTTTTTTCATGCATCTTTTAATTTATTCATTTAATTGATTTAAATTTAAAATTTAAATTTTATTATAATAAAAAAATTTTAAAAATAATTATATTTAATTTTTTTATTATACTAAAAAATTTTAATATAAAATTACATTTTAATTTAAATTAAAAATTTAAATCAGAGAATTAAACTGGCATTTATTTGTTTTCCCACCTCCCTGGCGCCAACAACTCTCCAGGGAACGCTCGAGCACCACCTCCATCACCTCCAATTCTCGGCCATGTTCAATAAACTCAAGATCTAGATGGTTCCCCATTAGTTTTTTTTTTTTCTCCTGAAAATATTTTGCTTGCCTTCGATATGTCTTTTCAGATCCGAAAATTTTCCTTTCTTCAAAACCATGCTTGCTAAAATACCCATCAACGAACAATGGTTTTATTCTTCTGTTTTAGAGTCTCTTTATTCTTTTTTTTTTGTGGGTCTCGTTCTCTTTGATTTCTTGCTAAGATCTTCAATATGTTCGGTTTTTTGGGTAGAAATTACTGGGTTTTTCCTGTTTTGTCCATGGGATGCTGAATTTGAAAAAAAAAAAACACAATATGCAAAAGAAAAAGAAAACAATTTCTCACATATGCTAACAGAGTCAACAATCTAGTATTGATCTTCGACAAATTTCTGGTCTTTCAACGTAAACAATAGTCGAAAGTCATTGAAAAACGTTTGGTAAAGATTCATATTATAATTTAAATCATAATTTATGATTTATTATAATATTTTCTCACATAAAAAAATATACATAAATTAAAAATAATTTTAATTTATGAATCAAACATCTCTTAAATTTTATGAATTTATGGTTGATTTTGAGAAAAGTACAGACCTACTTATAGACACCCAAGATCCATTCAAACAAAAATCATTTTTGAATAAACATAAAATCAGAAGCAAAACCCATTTTTAAAGTTAAAATTTTAGAGGAACTTCACTCTTTTTTTTTTCCTTAAGCAACGACCACAAGTTTGTTTAACACCAATATCATTTGTGAATAAGAAAATAGATTAAGGCTTCGTTCACTTCACCGATTCAAGTTTAGAATTTGAGTTTTATTATAGTAAAAAATTCTCAAAAATAGTTACATTTAACTTTTTATTACAGTAAAAAAATTTCACTTAAAATTACATATCAACTCAAATTAACGAAGTGAACGAAAAAGAAAGAAGAAGAAAAAGTTTCAGAGAGAGATTTTCATTTGAACGGTAAAAACGAAAATTTGGAGAGAAAATTACAAAGAGTTGGGTGAGGAAGATGATTATTATTAGTGGGTCTCACGACGTGTAATGCTTGACAAATTTTTTAAAGAAATATATGCTCGTTGTTTATTTAGTTGATTTAAGTTTAAAATTTAAATTTTATTATAATAAAAAAAATTATAAATAATTATATTTAATTTTTTTATATTAATAAAAAATTTTGATATAAAATTACATTATAATTAAAATTAAAATATT